GCTTGTGGAACTTTCCCTGGTTTCCCTCCTTTTGGCCTTGTTATATTATACAGTTGACTAAACACAAGCTACAGAAGTGACCTGTAATACGTTCTGTTCCTTGGGAGCTAAAGTTACTCAGAGTGTGGCCTATGTATCAATGCTGGTCTGTGACAAGGTGAATACAGACATATATTCACATAGAGAGTAAGAGTTTAGAGACATAATCATTTGATATTACCAAACATCCAAGCATGTGATCAAAATATTTTAGCCAGTTGGACTAGAAATCAAAAAACAGTTGTATGAGATATGGCTCAGTGGTAAAATGCCCCTGGCAGTATCTATCAATCCCTAGTTTCTATCAGTTAACCAATTAATTAAAAAGAAATAAAATTTAAAAATAAAAAAGCCCCCAAACTGGCCCTTTACCACCAACAGTTTAAGAAGCACTGGATGTAGAAAAATGAATGAAAAGTTAAGCTCTAGAGTTGGGTTCAAATCCTGTTTTTGCCATTTATTAGCTGAATATCTTGGCCAACTCACTTCAATTCTTTAATCCACCATTCACATTCTGTAGAGTAACAAATTTATGCTTTCAATGAAAATATATTTCTTAAATTTCTAATTTTCAGGTACTGTGTGAGGTGACATGAGCAGCAGCGATCAAATGTAAATATCTCATGATGGTATAATTCTAGTGGGAAATGCCAGGTGTGGTGGTGCACACCTGTAATTCCAGAGGCTCTGGAGGCTAACGCAGGAGGCTTGAATGAGGTCAGCCTCAACAACTTGTGAGACCCTGTCTCAAAAATAAAAAGGGGTGGAGATGTAACTCTCTACTAGTGCACCCTTGGGTTCAAACCCTAGTACTGCCCCAAACAAACAAATAAAACCAAAAAAGTCTGGTGGAAGAGAAAGAAATGAATCAAATAACCACACGAGCCAATGTGAAATTTGACTGTTATATTCTAGGAAGAGAGATGGATGGAGAATTCCCCCATTCTGGAAAGTTAAGGTCTGAAAGAAAATCTTGCTGAGAATATAGGATTAGGTTGGAATCTTATATGGGAAAATGCTGGAGGGAATGTTATGGACATAGGCCCTGTTGCAGGAGTAAGTACTATGTCTCTGAGGACCATATGGAGAGAAAAGAGTACTATGTGGTGAAGAGGAGGCTAGAGAGGTGGGCAAAAGCTGGACTACACAAGGCCATGTGGATCCTACTTACTAAATTATGAAGAGCAAAAGTGAAACAATGGAGGGTTTTAAGCTGAGTCCTTTGTGTGTATTATCTCATTTAAAGCTGAGATCCATCACTATATTTTTCAAAGTCTATAAATCCTATAAGAAGTTTTTAATTTTGTGTTTTTATTCTGATGAGTATCTAAAATAAGTCATTTACTGGTTGTAAAGATAAAGCTTTGGTAATCTGCAACTGAAAGATCTTTTCTTAGAATAAAACTTTAGTTTTTTTTTTAATATTTATTTTTTTAGTTGTAGTTGGATACAATACCTTTATTTGTTTTTATGGGGTGCTGAGGATTGAACCCAGGGTCTTGAGCTTGCTAGGAGAGCGCACTACCACTGAGCTACAACGCCAGCCCAAAACTGAAGTTTCCTATTCTTGTTTTTTTGTTTTATAGTATGAGGGGATTGAACCCAGGGGTGCTTAACCACTGATTCACATCCCCAGCCCTTTTAATATTTTTAAATTTTGAGACAGGGTCTTGCCAAGTTGTTGAGGGCCTGGCTAAGTTGCTGGTTCAACTCTACTTCCTCTCAACTGTTTTATAATTAATATTAAAATTAGGTTTGAGAATCTAATTCCATTTTCTTTATGAGGGGGGCACAGTTTTTATGTTTATAAAATTTCTAAGCAATAAATAAACATATGGGAAATTGTACTTTATGAAAAATAATATACCACCTAAGAAACTAATGTAGTACTACCTTCTGTGATATTCATCTATATTAGCCATCTATTAACTGGTCCCAGTTAAAGTGACTTTTTTAGTGAGGTGCATATATATGACTTCTGCATTATGCCTTATACAACAATTGTGCCCAAGCTGCTATGAAATATAAATTACCACAAATTACTTTCCTTTTATTTCTCCTGATTATTACAACTAGATCATAATGTTGCTTTAAAAAAATAATTCCCCTGTGGGCTGAAGAATTAGTTCAGTGGTAGAGTGCTTGTCTAGCATGAGCAAGGGCCTGAATTCAATCCCCAGCACAAGAAGAATGAAACCAAAACCAACCAATCAACCAAACAAACCCAAACAAATTCATATTTAGATTGTACCAACTGTGAATTTTATTTTGGAGATGGAAAAAAAAAAAACAGCTGTGGGTCTGATACCATTCAGAACCACAGCTCTAAAATGACATAGTAAAAACCAGGATAGAAAACTGTGTCAGAATATCTAGCAGGAATGGTGGTTAAGAATCATCATAGTATCTGGTTAAAAAAAAAAAAGAATCATGATAGCAGGATCAGTGAACCAATCTAGGTTCAAGTACATGCACAATATTTTACAACTTTGGATACTCTGGGAATGCTACTTAATTTCTCCAGGCTTCCTTTTCTTCAACTATTAAAATGGGTTTAGGATTACCTAACTCAGAACTATTGTAAGGATAAAATGAGAATAATTTCTAGGTATCATTGAATGCTAATTATCTGAGCTCTCTCCACCCTGCATTTTTCTATAGGATTTCTTTTTGTGATAAACTGACTTTTTCCCTCTCCTAATATTGGGATATTGGGGATTGAACTCAGGAGCATTCTACTGCTGAACAAAATCCTTAAAATTAAAAAAAAAATTTTTAAGTTATAGATGTATACAATACCTTTATTTTATTTGTTTTTATGTGGTGCTGAGGATTGAATCCAGTGCCTCACATGTGCTAGGTGAGTGTTCTACCACTGAGCCACAATGCCAGCCCTGTAAAAAAACTTTTTTTTTTTTTTTTTTTTTTTTTAATTTTGAGACAGTTTCAATAAGTTGTGCAGGCTGTGCTTGAACTTGTAATCTTCCTGCACCTGTCTTCACAGTGGCTGAGATTAAAGGTATTAGCTACCTCATCTGGTTGTAAACTGACTTCTAAAGATTGGTTCCAGGAGGATGGCTCAGGTCAGTTCTGAAATTGATGTCACAAAAAAATAATCCAAGTGGCTAATTTGTAGTAAAATGGAAAGATCCCTAGGCTTGGCAACCAGAAGACCTGGCTTAAAGTCCTGAATATTATCATCTGTGACCATGGAACCCCCTTAAGCTTCAGTTTCTATAAAATGGGAAAACAGTACCTACCTCATAGTTGCTCTGCGTTTTAAATAAGTACTTTAGCATAGTGCATGGTACAGAATAAGTATTTAATAAATGTTTGCTTATTATTATTGTCAGCATAATTGGTAAGGACAACTGAAAATGATAAATTAGTTTCCCATACTTCAGTAGCACTTAAACTATATGTACTTAATATTTTTAGATATCAACTTTTCTTCTGCCTGTATTAGTTTTTTAAAAAAATATTTTAAGTTGTAGATGGACAAAATACTTTAATCTACTTATTTATTTATTAAAATGTTTTTTAGTTATAGGTAGACACAATTTCTTTAATTTACTTTATGTGGTGCTGAGGATCCAACCCAGTGCCTCACACATACCAGGCAAGTGCTCTACCATTGAGCCACAACCCAGCTCCTATAAAATTTCAGCAAATGGAAATCCAGTATGACTTGCCACAAAACAAAGCAATTTTAAAAATAAATACAATAAAATCAAAACAACATTAAATTTTCCCTAGATACTGTCATCTGTGGAAAACTCTTTAAAAATTTTTTTCTAGTTGTTGATAGACCTTTACTTTATTTATTTATATGTGGTGCTGAGAATGGAACCCAGTGCTTCACGCATGCCAGGCAAGTGCACTACTACTGAGCCATAGCCCCAGCCCATCTGTGGAAACTTCTGATCCTGATGCTTGCTCTTTTTGTTAAAGAGATTCCTAAGTAATCAGGAGGGGTTAAAGATAGAGTATCACTTGATTAAGATGGTCTCTGAAAATAATCATAACAATTGGCTGAAAATTGTTATTTATTTTAATAGAAGGGCATGTGTCTGGATACCATCTAGAGCCATCTCAAATTTGTTTCTGCAAATACTAAATGAAAGCGTGTGGGGAGGAAGTTGCCTTCACTATAGGAGGGAAAATGATCTTTACAAATTCACACATCTCTAATGACACTTTTACAGTTTGCAAAGCATTTTGTTTCTTAGCATCTCTGCTGATCATTACAGTAATTCAGTAAAATGCGATTATCTAATATTATCAAAGAATAAAAAGACCTGGCACTCAGGGGGCACTTTTCCTAAGGAAAGGATGGGATCGGACAGTTCATAGATAACCCCACTGAGAGTTGGCTACTAGCCTAACAATGTTAACAACGTTTTTTTTTTTTTTTTTTTTGAGCACTAATATGTCCCAGGCCCTATGATCAGGCTTTAAAGATGTCACCTAATTTAATCCCCACGTCTGTTCTATGAGGTAGGCACTGTTATAGTTCTCATTTTAGAGACGACAAAAGTGAAATACAGGTAACGGCCAAGGTCACCTGCCAGCAGGGGCGCGACGAGAACTCAGGTAACTGACAGAACTCCTGCACTTTCTTGCCCAAGGTCACGAGGAGTGAAGGCGGCCGGTTAGGGAAGGGTGCTGACCTGTCGGAGACTTGTTCCTGGGTCAGTTTCTTGTCGCTCTGCAACAGGATGGACACATAGTGGCGGATCATGCCTACGAAGAAAGTGATGATAACGATGGGTAGGACCACCCAGAGGCGGATGTTGGAGTCGAGCAACAGCTCTGGCCCCGCCATCTTTTCTGAAAGCCGACTGCCAGCCGCAGGGAGTCGAGTTCCTCTTGGATTTCGCCTCCGGGCCTTCTAACGTTCCTCAACCTGGCTGGCCCGGGACTCCGCGACTGTCTTGATCCGCCGCTCACGGTTTCCAGCTGGGCCGCCGGGCGCCGACTTCCGGCGCGGAATTTTGACGTCATTCAGCGGCGCGCCTCGGTAGCGTCAGAGCGACGTCGCGCCGGGCGGGAAAGTCCAAAGTGAGGGGCGGTGACGACTTCTGCGTGTTGAGTGGATCTGCGGTAGGCGTCGCTCGAGGCTTCGCGCCACTGGGGCCTAGTCCCTAGGTCCAGGCCGAGCCCGGCCTTTAGTCTGGGGCTCCGCGCCCGGAACCTGGCTTCCTCATCCGCCCTATCGTGGGGTAATTCCCTCAGGTACCTCCAGCGTCGTTACAGGGACGAAATGAGAAGGGACGCTATCGCTCCCATCCCCCAAACCCGAATGGTCTGGTTTTGGTGACTGGCCTCATCCCCTCTTCCTTTAGACTTTTCTGGAAACGAGGTGGTGTCGCACGTGTTGAGGGTGTGTGCTCTAAAGTCGCAAGATCCTTAGTTGTCTTAGTTTTTCTATCTGCAAAATGGCCGACGATGGTTTTACAGTATTAAATGAGGTAATGGATAATATAGAAGGATTAACACATCATAAGAGTTAATCCTTGTTGGAAGCCATTGTTAAGAACTGGTAGTTAATGTAGATTCCGGAGTCGGTCTGCTGGAGTTAGAATCCTGGACTATGGGAATAATAATTGTATTATTATTTTTATATTACTATTATAATTTATAATATAATATACAAGTTTATATTATTATTACTATTATAATTGCTCACAGATTTTTGTGAGGAATAAATGAATTATTAAATAAAAACCACTTTAATTAAAAAAAAAAGCCCGGTAGGGCACCTAAAATACTGATAATTTATAACTGATTTAAGCGGGTCGGAAGGCTGAAAAAGGAGCACCACTCGTTCAAAGCCAGCCTTGGCAATTTAGCGAGGCCGAAAGAAACTTAGCGAGATCTTGCCTCAAAAAAAAAAAAAAAAAAAAAGGCTGGGGATGTGGCTCAATCCCCTTGATTCAATCCCTGGTACAAAACAAAACAAGAAAAAAAGACTTTCTGGGGCTGGGAGCGTAGGTCAGTGGCAGAGCTCTTGCATAGTGCATGAAGCCCTTGGGTTCCATCCTTAGCCCTCGGGGGTAGGGAGGACTTTCTCCGGGAAATTGTCCCTGCTTTTCTTCTCCACCTAGACTAAATTTCATTGTAAGCCTTCACTCAGAGTAATCTGTACTTCCTTTTATAGGATTTACCCAACTGAAGTTAAATGTATTAAGACTATTTGCCTTTATTCTGTAAACTCCCTCTGGGCAGCGTTCATGTCCATCTTGTTCACAGTTGTAACCCCAGCACCTAGCACAGTTCTTATATTGTATTGAATTAATGAGTTAAAGGACAGGTGTCTTGAATCTCAGAGGAAGAGCTGTGATTTTTCTCCTTTTAGGTAGTGTTCTAGTGAAAGAGGAAAGTAGGAAAACAAGTCTTGAAGAATTGCCCAAATATGGGAGTTGAAATGTGTTGAGCACCTGGTGATAGAATTAGTATGAAGACTAAAATTCTTTTGGTTTTGGAAAGAACATTTATTTTTTTAAACTGTAATTTTGACTTATCAGAATTTTGCTTCTACAGGATAACTTTTTTCCTGTCGTTTTACTCTTGTAAGTTTACTCTTGTAGATTATTTAAGTGTGGAGAACTTCACTCAATGATTTCCAAAAGAACACTGTCAAAATCTGAGGATAAAGAGACCCTGATGGAAGATGCCTCCAGTAAGTATTTGCCATTTATTGCTTTATTTCTTATAGGAAATGTATGAGACATTTAGTGATATGTAAAATTTTTACTTTTCAAGTGCTAGGCATCATCAAGGCCTAATAGATACAGCACAAAGAATCTAGTGTCAGGAGATCTGGGATAGAGTTCTATCTCTGTTTCCACATATAACTTCAGGCATACCCCTCTAAGCATCAGTGACTACATTCATTAGAGGAATTTGTCTTATCTGTGGACTTCTGTACATTATCTCTGTGTTGGGACACAAAGAAAAGATAGTTCCCATCTTTTTAAAAAGCCTGGTCTTTTCTACCTTAAAAAAAAGTTAAGGTAGCTATGGTAGTGATGTATAAAGGAAAGGTATGTGAAAGCAGAGGCAAAGAAATTGTTTAGAGCTTTGCCCAAATGAGAATGTGACTGACAAAGACCCTAGGAGTTTGGAAAAGAAGAGACTGAAAGTTCTTTTCATTTATTAAACTCATTTAAGGGCTGGAGTTGTGGCTCAGGCTGGGGTTGTGGCTCAGCGGTAGAGCACTGCCTTACACGTGTAGAACCCTGGGTTCGATTCTCAGCACCACATAAAAATAAATAAGTGAAATAAAGGTATTGTGTCCAACTACAACTAAAAAATGAATATAAAAAGAATCATTTAAGGTTGTTCTAACTGATTGAAGTGTTCTTTCTTATTAGGGTATAGGAATTTAGGTCTGACTCATGGTCAAATACAACTGATGTTGATGAAAATGTTATTGACAATATTTAGAATTAAGAAATAAAATTTTAAGGCTAAAACCCTGTTAGTAAAGGCTTGATTTAGGCTCTATCTGTTGGTGAAGGAATTGTAGAATACAGACAAATTGATAAAAAAATTGAAACTGAAGAAAAATAATATAAGAAGTTACTAAATCAAGATTTTGTACTTTCAAAATACTGTTCTCCAAAAGGGAAGAGACTTCTGAGTTAAATTTATGAGAAGGGACTTTGGTTTTTTTGGTGTGATGAGCAAACTGAATCTTTTCTGGTTATGCCTAAATTTATTTTTTTCTTTTGGGTTCAGGGATTGGACTCAGCAGCATTCAACCACTGAGCCACATTCCCAGCTCTATTTTGTATTTTATTTCAAGACAGGGTCTCACTGAGTTGCTTAGCATCTTGCTTTTTGCTGAGGCTGGCTGTGAACTCGTGATCCTGTCTCAGCCTCCTGAGCTGCTGGGATTATAGGTGTGCACCACTGTGCCTAGCCTAAATTTCTTTTTTTTTTTTTTAAATATTTATTTATTTATTAGTTATTGGCGGACACAACATCTTTGTTGGTATGTGGTGCTGAGGATCGAACCCGGGCCGCACGCATGCCAGGCGAGCCCGCTACCGCTTGAGCCACATCCCCAGCCCTAGCCTAAATTTCTTTAAGGAAGGTAGACAGTGGTCTTTGTTTCATTCTGTTTAAGGCTTTTTTTTTTTTTTTTTTCCTTCTTTGATAGGAGGGATTAAACTCAGGGCCTATCCCCATACCTTTTTCTTTCATTTTGAGACAGGGTCTTGCTAAATTGCTTAGGGCCTTGCTAATTTGCCAGAACTGGTTTCCAATTTTGGATTCTCGTGCCTCAGCCTCCCCACCCCCATAGCTGGAATTACAGGTGTGCACCACTTTGCCTGGCTTGTTACTTTTTATTGGTTGAAAACCTTTTATTGGTTGAAACCAATCTGTGCTTTGTATTGAAGATGTGATGTAGGAGAACCTGTTCCATTCTGGTTTTTATTTATTTATTTTTGCATTACAATTCTTAATACACCATTATACAATAATTTATCATGTCTCTGATTACATATAAGGTATGTTGATACCAATTTCACATCTGTATTTTGTATAATGATGAGGGTCTCCTTTCACCATCCATGCTATTCCCCTCCATTCTGTTTTTGTATACACACCATTGATTCTCAAATTTGGTGTACATCAGGATTACTACCTGAGGAGTTTGTTAAAAAAAAAAAAAAAAAAAAAAATTAGACTCCTAGGTGCCATTCTCAAGATTTCACTCAGTAAGTTCTAGAATTTAGCCTGGGAATATGCATTTTAATAAGCTTCTCAGTGATTTCAATACAGTGGTTTGACAATAACTTGAGAGAACTGACTGCTTTAGGTTTTGGGTGGAAAGCATTCTGTTTATTCTTGTTTCAAGTGATACAATTTGATTTCTTCAAATTAAAACCTGGTAAATATAATTCTGTGTGCTGCTTGTTTTATTTTTCTATTTGGAAGTCACTATTTCTGACCATTTGTTAGAGATAGTTCATTTCACTGTAGCACCAATTCTAGTCTTAATATTTCAGGAACACCCCAGATTTCCTCTCAAAGGTATTATTCCTGGATTTATGTTTTAATCTTTTTTTTTAAAATATATATATATTTTTAGGTGTAGATGGACACAACACAATGCCTTTATTTTTTTGTGGTGCTGAGGATTGAACCCGGGTCCCGCCAATGCTAGGCGAGCACTTTACTGCTGAGCCATAATCCCAGCCCCTTAATCTTTGTTTTACTTTTTTTTTGTCATAATCTTTAAAATTTTTTTCTATTTTCAGGAGCCAGGAAGAAATCACTTTCCAAAAAGACAAAGGAATCTTTTGCTTCTAATGAAGTTGAAGAAAATGACAGTGTCTTTGTAAGACTTCTGAAGACATCAGGACTTGTTCTTAAAACTGGAGAGAATCAAAATCAACTAGGTAATATTTTATCTAAATCTATTTTTGGGGCTTAGTGAAAGGGCTTAGGATTAAATCATGGATTTTTCTACATTGAGAGGCAGTAAAGATTAAAGATGAGTGGATCATCTGTCAGGAGATAAGAATGAAATTACTTTTTAGAGAATATTGTTTTATTCTGTTGTCCTGGTTAATGCACATTAAGTACTTCTAATTTTTTTTTTTCCAGGGGGAAAAAAAAGTTATATGCTAGTATTCTTCCATGCTTTCTTGTGAAAAATATATTAATATCCAGGAAGTAAATAGATCTGTGTCAGAATAATTTCAGAGAAAAATGTATAGAGTTATATAAGGCCCTGTTTTTAGGGCATAGTTTATTCTATTGTGCTAAGGTTATGGCAGGTGTTTTTTTAGGACACTTAGTGACTATCCTCTTTTAAAACTACATCTAGGGGCTGGGGTTGTGGCTCAGTGGTAGTGCGCTTGCCTAGCATGTGTGAGGCACTATGTTTGATCCCTGACATCACATAAAAATAAATAAAATAGTTATTGTATTAAAACAACAACAACAACTACATTTTTACTGCGGGTTTAGGAAGGTTCAAACAAAATTAGGTTGAAGATATTTTAAGTGGTTTTATCAGATTAGAGACTCAGATCTTTTGGGAAGAAAACTGTTAGATTGTCACAGACCGTGGTAACCAGTTGTCTTTCTTTCCTCATAGCTGTGGATCAAATAATTTTCCAAAAGAAGCTATTGCAGTCCCTGAGGAAACATCCTTCCTATCCCAAAGTATGTATTTTCTCTGGTATTTTTTATTTTTTTCAGCAGTACTCTGGAATTAGGAATTTAAAGACACTTGCAAATAGTTGAGTGGGCTAGAATGATTTTTAGTTGACAATAAATGTTAAAACTGAAAGTCTTACTCTCATTTATATTTAAAATCTCACTAAGGTGATAGAAGAATTTGTTGATGGCCTGGAATCTTACATTGAAGACCATGACAGTTTCAGGAATTGCCTTTTGTCTTGTGAACGTCTACACGATGAGGAAGCCAGGTGTGGAGAGGAGGCATGCAGCCTCCATAAATTCAGTCTCTTACAGTAACTGGCTTGGGTGTGGGGGGTGCAGTTTTTTATAATTTCACTTTTGATTTGTAGCTCGTTTTTCCTCAGAGTTTAAACCTAAACTTAAAATTGTTAAATTTGTGATTTTAAGGCTAAGCACTAGAGTGTTTTCTAGACTACTTCTACCTGTGTTGATAGAATTTAAAATTCTCTACCTCTCTATCATGTTCTGTATTTCTTGTCTAACAAGATTATATAGTGGCCACCCGCATGCCTGTAATCCCAGTGGCTTGGGAAGCTGAGGCAGGAAGATCATGAGCTCAAAGCCAGCCTCAGCAATTAAGTGAGGCCCTAGGCAACTCACCAAGATGCTCTCTAAATAAAATATGTGAGGCACTGTCGATCCTCAGTACCATATAAAAATAAACAAGTAAAATAAAGGCATTCTGTGTATCTATGACTACAAAAAAACAGGGAGGGGGCTGGGGTTGTGGTTCAGTGGTTAGGCACTGCTGGGTTCAATCTCCAGTACCCCACCTCCCTAAAAAAGATTATATTGTGGGTTTAATCTTTAGACTGTGTACCTAACCAGTTTTCTGGAGAAAAGATAGTAAAAATGTTAAAAAAAGGAAAACAAAATAGTAAACAAATGTGTCTTTTATAGCATGGGCGCATCTTACTCTAAGAGCCTCATCAAACTGCTTCTGGGGATTGACATATTACAGGTGAGACTCTACTACTTTTTCTGTGAACATTTGATAGATATGATTTGTGGTATGTGCCCAATTATAAGTGGCTAGAACAGGGCAGAGTAGGGTTAATTGGAGAGTTTAAGTTTGCAACAGCCTTATCATAGCTCTTTTGGTGAGCTGAGTCTGTTAGGGTTATTTATTTAGGGTATTATTTGCATCTCTGAACTGTGCCCATTAGTCCCTCTCATCTGGCAGTCCCTTTTATTCACTCAGCATCTAAGTCCTCTTTCTGAAGGCTGCATCCTATGTGCACTGAGAACCTTATAATCTTTGTCACACTCACATTTGCATCATTTCCCAATTAGCTTTTTATTTGCTTAATAATTTAATTTTTCCCTTTCCTTCCCCCTCCTTTCTTTTTTAATGTATTGAGTGTTATGTAGTGGTATATTTTAAATATCTCAAATTATATAAAATTAATGTACAGTGGAAAGTCTCCCTCCTTATCTTATCCACCATTTTTCTTCTCCCCATCTTTTATCTCTTCGTTTTCATTGGAAATCTTTTTTTTTTTTAATTTAGAATTTAATTTAGAAAGAATTTAATGATTCTGTAAACTTCTAATTACTAACCACATATACTTGTAGAATATTTAGAAATAGTCTATAATACCAAGTACAAATATACTAGCCTCTTTTTTGTTGTTTTAATATATATTTTTTTTTGGTTGTTCAAAATATTACAAAGCTCATGACATATCATCATTCATACATTTGATTCAAGTGGGTTATGAACTCCCATTTTTATCCCAAATACAAGTTGCAGAATCACATCGGTTACACATCCACATTTTTACATAATACCATATTAGTGTCTGTTGTATTCTGCTACCTTTCCTATCCCCTACTATCCTGGAAATCTTAAATATAATGCTTACCTTAAGTCTAAGAGCTCTTGTTCTCTGAAGAGAAGTCTTCTTCTCTTGAAAAAATATTCGATAATTTTTAAAGACTACATTTCATGGATTAACAGTTATATTTGTTCATATTTTATTATCTGATTATTTTGTCTTAGYAATTGATTTTTAATATTTCAAAAGACAGATTATTCATATCTTTGTATTTCAGCAGCTTATGTTCAGTATCTATGTGAACATTCTTATAATTAAGAGGACATTAAGAGCTCTGGTGGGAGAGAATTCTGGCTAATTATATATTTCTGTTGTGTATTTTGAGACTATCTTGTAATGCTCTACATTTTCTTTTTTAGCCTGCCATTATCAAAATCTTATTTGAAAAGTTGCCAGAATTTCTTTTCAAAACGTAAGTGAAGTTTTTCTGGAATACTTTTAGCACCCTGAAAGAGTTGTTTCTCTCTGGAACATCATTGTTTTCTCTGAAGACCATGTTAATTATGATGCCATGTTCTTACATGAGTACTAAACTTTTATTGGGGTAGCTTTCTTTGAAATTTCATCTATTATTGGCTTCATAAGAAATTAGCAGAAATTTGGTTAAAAATAAATAATATATATGTATGTACATGCATGGGATTATTCCTAGTGCCAATTGACTGGAGGCAGGTATTCTCTGAATATTGTTCTTTACCTTTTTGTTTTTATAGTGTATGTGTACTGCATATTTTTAAAAGTTTTTTACATTTCATTTAATTTTTTATTTTTTTAATTTTCTTTTAGTTGTAGATGGACATAATAGCTTTATTTTCTTTGTTTTTATGCGGTGCAAAGGATTTAACCCAGTGCCTCACATGTGCTAGGCAAGTGCTCAACCACTGAGCTACAACCCCAGCCCTGTACTATCTATTTTAAAAATTATTATGTCATAAAAAACTGAACAGTTTATAATAGAAAAGTAGACAGAGATCGTGAACAGACAATTCACAAATGCAAGAACATTAAACATTAAAAGTTTAATTTTATTAGCAAAGACACAGTTTTAAAATAATAAATACAGTCATTATTTCCATTCTCAAAAGGGTCTTCTGTGTTGAGTGTAATTAACAGGCATGTGCATTCATTGCTAATGAGCATATTAATTTGTTCAGTCATTTGAAAATCAAGAGGTTGTACGTAAAACCTAAGGTTTTGGCCATGCGCATGGAACATGCTTATAATCCTAGGGGCTTAGGAGGCTGAGGCAGGAGGATTGTGAGTTTAAAGCCAGCAACTTAGGGAGACCCTAAGCAACTCAGTGAGACACTGTCTCTAATTAAATACAAAAATGGGCTGCAGATGTGACTCAGTGGTAAGAGCCCCTGGATTTATTCCCTGGTACAAAAGATAAAAAGGAAAAGAAGAACCTAAGGTTTTAGGTTGATGTAGCATAGTAGTAGAAGTGTGTGTGAGGGTCCTGGGTTCCATTCCCAGCATCACATACACAAAAAAAGACTTAAATTTTGCAGACCCTTTAATCCTCACTGCTCTCTCCTGTTTTACCCCAAAATGTTTACTAACTGAAAACAAAGACATAAGATTATTGTCTAAAATAACAAAAAATTAGAACTGGTTATAGATTAGTGGTTGAGCTCTTATACAGCATATAGGAGGCTCTATGTTCAGTCCCCAGCACTGCAAAACAAAGCAAAAGAAAAACAACAAAAACCCAGACAAGAAAATAACAAAAATTGTGAACAATTGACATGTTAAAAAATAGAAACATCATGTGGACATTAAAATTATAATGACTAGGGCTGGAGTCATGGCTCAGTAGTAGAGTGCTCATCTAGCAGTGCAAGTCCCTGGTTCAATCCTCAAGCACCATATACAAATAAATTAAAGGTATTGTGTCCAACTACAACTAAAAATAAAATATTAAAAAAATTATAATGACCATTTGATGCCGTACATTAATTGAAAAAAAAACCCATGTTATAAATCAATGTCTTGTTTTAAAAAAATGTAAACCATACATAATGCATTATTAATAGTGGATATCTTCGGTATGACAGATACATAGTCATTTTCATTTTCTCCATTTTATGTCCTGTACATAATATACTTTGAAGATGCATTTTTAAAAATTTCAGGTTTTAGATGATGCTTTATGTTCTGGCTAAGTCTTTCTTAGTGCTTAAGATGGGCTGTGGTGGAAGGAAGGGAGGGCATGGCGAATTACTGGGGAATGAAATCTACAAAATTATGCTGCATCTATGTATGAATATACTAGATTGAATAATAATAATTCAGTAATTAAAATACAATATTAGGGAGATCAGTAGAGCAGTCAGATGGGAGCTGGAGGAGATGAGGGAAAGAGAAAGTACTTGGGAATGAGATTGATCATATCATGTCCATGTATGAGTATAGTTTAGTGAATCCCACTATTATGTATAATTATAATATACCAATACAAAAATTTTTTTTAAAAGATTGSTTGTAGTAAACAAGGACCAAGAATACTGTTAAGAAAAGGAGCTGGGGGTAGTCCAAAAATTTAGGTTAGGAGGAAGGCATAGATTCTTATTTTGTGGAAAATAATAGTAACTGAGCCAACATTTCTTCATAAGTGAAGAAATGCTCGTCATGATACTTTCATGAACATAATCTAATTTGAACTCATGAGTTTTCATAGCAGTTGATGTGCTTGCCTTTTCTTTTTCATTGATGTAATAAATTTTTACCTTTTGAAAAATATTATTCTATTCAGTTTTAATTTGTTAGCTTTCTATCTTTTAAAAATTATATTATTAAGGTCGGTGTGATGGTGCATGCCTGTAATTCTAGGGAATCAGGAAGCTGAGGAAGGAGGATTCTGAGTTCAAACCCAGCCTCAGCAACTTAACTAAGGCCCTGAGCAACTCTGTGAGACTCTGTCTCTAATAAAATATAAAAAAGGGGGGCTAGGGTTGTGGCTCAGTGGTACAGTGCTTGCCTGGTATTTGTGAGGCCCTGGGTTCAATCCTCAGCACCTTGTATAAGTAAATAAAGTAAAAAATCTAAAAAAAAACCCCAAGCAAAAAACCCCAACAATCATACATTTTATATATATATATAAATAAAAGGGCTGGTGATGTGGTTCAGTGGCTAAATGTCCTTGGGTTCAATCCCTGGTATAGAAAAAATTATATTAAGAAATACTATCTTGGGGCTGGGGATGTACCTTAAGTGGTAGCATGCTCGCCTGGCATGCGCGGGGCGCTGGGTTCGATCCTCAGCACCACATAAAAATAAAATAAAGATGTTGTGTCCACTGAAAACTAAGAAATAAATATATACAAAAAAAAAAGAAATACTATCTAGCCCTATTTTCCCTTCTTTCTAAACTCTCTCCAGCTGTAGCTGTTGCTAATAGTTTGACGTGTCTTCTTCCAGACCTCTTATGACTATGTAACCCTATGTCTGCTGCTTTTTGGTCTAGCACATTGCCCAGTGCATGGAAATATTTCAGTAAATGTTAATTGAATGAATGGAATATTTTGCACAGTATTAGTGCTGTTATAGAAAAGTCAGAAAGGCTAAGATCTGGGGCAGAGAGTGTAGCTCAGCAGCACTTCCTTAGCATGTGTGAGGCTCAGTGTTCAATTGCCTGCACAAAAATAAAATAAAAAACAAAGTCTAACTTCCTTGAATTCTCATTCTAACATTTCAGTTCGAGCAGTGATGGAATCAACATGCCTCGACTCATTTTCAGTCAATTAAAATGGCTTGACAGAATTGTGGATGGCAAGGTAGGCTTTGGAGCTTTATTATTCATATTTAAAGAATGTTTTTTGTACTTGCCAAACTTTTAGAATTTGTAGGGTTTTCCCCCTTGTTTTTATGCTGAGCATTCACACTTTTCCAACTATCCATTAGCTTTTTCCAGTTTTCATAATTTGAGAATTATGATTATTTTGCCCTTTAAATTTTTTCAGAAAAGCTTATCTAATTATAAAATTAGATATCATTTAATATATAAATTAAATGTTTGGAAATAAATTACTTTTTCTAAGTAAAGAGATTGTAGTGTATTTCTGAAGTGATGAGATACCAAACCATCTTACTTCACTACAATTGTTTTAATTTGATTACATATTGAGGAACATTGTAAAAGTTTTTGTAGTTATATGATTTGTTATTCAAGCACCTTGATAAAGTTAAATCTATTTTGAGCCAAGTGCTTTAGGTTCATTTTTCTTCAGGAGTTTATAAATTSATCTTTCTAAGTTGACAGACATTCTGATGCTAAATTTCTGTTTGGAAGAATATGAGTTTTTGGGGTTTCATCTGGGATGGAATTTGGGGTCTGCCAATTAACCATGTATCCTTGGGTAATTCATTCATACATTTAAAATATGGGAATTATTGTAAAACCCCATAGTTCTGAAGATTAAATGGAATAATGTATGTAATAGACCTATTAGATAATATACTATCCATCTTATATTTTTTTCTGTTTTGTTTTATATGGAATTATCTGGGCCATTTGCCTCTAAACTTAAGTTTTGAGCTTGCATCTGTAGTTGAGATATTGTACAAAAGATAACTTGAGCTCTGCATTTTATGAGTAGGTAGTGTTTCTGTATTCTGGATAATGTGCTGCAATTCTAATAGTGTCCCTCACTGCAGGACCTTACCACCAAGATCATGCAGTTGATCAGTATTGCTCCAGTGTACCTGCAACATGACTTTGTTACCAGCCTACCTGAGATCTTAGGGGATGCCCAGCATGCTGATGTGGGGAAAGAACTCAGGTAGATGAGCACTCTGCTACTGTCTCAAAGAGGCACCAATATGGGAGCTTTATCACTGCAGTGTGTAGAGTGGTAGTAATATGGTATCAAAGGAGCATGATATATCTATCTCTCAGGAATAGGGCATGGGATTTGACTTGTATTTTTAATGACAGGTATATATTTGAATAGACCCATCTGTTGTTTTTTTTTTCCCAATATTTTTTAGTTGTAGAAGGACATAATACCTTTATTTTACTTTACTTCTTTATTGGTGCTGGAAATTGAACTCAGGGCCTTGTGCATGGTAGGCAAGCACTTTATCAACTGAGCTATATTCCCAGTCCTATTTTATTTTTATGTGATGCTGAGTATTGAATCCAGTGCTTAACATTTGTTAGACAAGCATTTAACCACTGAGCTACAACCTAAGCCCCAAGACCCATATACTTTTTAAAAAATGATATACCTGTGAATGAAGGTGTCTTGATTAGGATTAGGTATACAAATTTGGCATGTAAGAATTTGAACATGATGACTTTGTTTCATTAGCATTTCCTCCAAGGAATTCTCAATCTGACTTGCACATCACGATTATTTATGGATTTTTTTTAAACATCTACATTCTTTCTTTTTTATTCTAATTTGTTATACATGACAGCAGAATGCATTTCAATTTATAGTGCACATAAAGCACAATTTTTCATGTCTGTGGTTATACACAGGGATACATCATTCGTGTCTTCATACATGTTCTAGGGTAATGATGTCCATCTCATTCCACCATCTTTCCCACGCCCCCTCCCTCCCCTTTACCCTATCTAAAGTTCCTCCATTCCTCCCATGGTTGCGGCCTTCTCCCCATTATGGATCAGCATCCACATTTCAGAGAAAGCGTTCGGCCTTTGGATTTTGGGGATTGCCTTACTTAGCGTGATATTCTCCAACTCCATCCAATTACCTGCACATTTCATGATTTTATTCTCTTTTAATGACAAATAATATTCCATTGTGTATATATACCATAGTTTCTTTATCTATCCATTTATTGAAAGGCATCTAGGTTGGTTCCACAATTTAGCTATTGTGAATTATGCTGGTACAAACATTGATGTGGCTGTTTCACTGTAGTATGCTGTTTAACATCTACTTTTTTTTTTTTTAATTTCTTAATTTTCGGCAGACACAACATCTTTGTTTGTATGTGGTGCTGAGGATTGAACCCGGGCCGCACGCATGCCAGGCGAGCGCGCTACCGCTTGAGCCACATCCCCAGCCCCCATCTACATTTTTTGATCCTTAGACGATTCATTGTAATATACTCCCTGCATTAGACCTGTTGCTGATACCCATTGCTTACTGCCATTCATTTGAAAAATAGTACTATAATTGGTAGATTAGTAATAAAGAAGGGAGAACTATATCCCTAGAATATAGCTTCTGTATTAATGTAACTTTTTACTTGTCCTAGAGGTAGTTTTTAAAAAATTTGAATTCTGCAGTTGCCTACTTCCAAATGTGTCCAGTGATTTGCTTTTGTGCTTTTGGGCAGGATGCTCCCTTTGGGTAGGGTCCTAACTGTTCACTTTGCCTGCTTCCTGCCAGCTTGTTCTTTTGTACAGCCTTCTTTTAGAATCCATCCCTATACTTTTCACTACTGTATGCTCCTATAGCACCCTGCATATGCATCTTTTATATTTAATCATGCTCTATTGTAATTGTTTTTTTTTTTTTTTTTTTTTTTTTTTTAAAGAGAGTGAGAGAGGAGATAGAGAATTTTTAATATTTATTTTTTTAGTTCTCGGTGGACACAACATCTTTGTTGGTATGTGGTGCTGAGGATCGAACCCGGGCCGCACGCATGCCAGGCGAGTGTGCTACCGCTTGAGCCACATCCCCACCCCCTTGAATTTTTATAATGAGCAATGAGCATATATTATTTTCTTGTAATGAAGACAGCTTCTAGTGAAAAATAAAATCAATATTTTAATTGGAACTGAGTACAACTGGCCCTCTGTATGCACATCCTCTGATTCAACCAACTATAGATCAAAACTATTCAGAATAAATGCTGCATCTGTATTAACATGTGCAGACTTTTTCCTTGTCATTTTTCCCTAAGCAGTATAGTAGAAGAGGGGCTGGGGTTGTGGCTCAATGGTAGAACACTTGCCTAGCATGTATGAGTTACCGGGTTTATTTCTCAGCACTGCATATAAATAAATAAAGGTTCATTGACTAAAAAATATAGCAGAAAAACTATTTATATAGCATTTACCTGGTTTGAAGTGTTATAAATGATTCAGAGATGATTTACTGTTTATAGGGAACTGTATAGGGCATATCCAAATGCTATGCCATTTTACCTAGGGGACTTGAGCATGTATTCAATTTGGTATCCATGAGGAGTGGGGTCCTGAAATCCAAGGTCAGATACCAAGGGACAACTGTGTATCCTGTCTTCCCATAATCTGATGAGTCATTTTTCTCAAGTGTTTAATCTACCTAGTTCTCTTTAAACCTTTATACAACTTTCTTTTTCCAACATTCACAGTGACCTATTAATGGAGAATACTCCCCTTACTGTCCCAATCCTGGATGTCCTTTCCAGTCTCCGACTTGACCCAACCTTCCTATCTAAGGTAGGAAAGACTGTGCTCTCCAGAAACAGGGCCAGCTTTCTGACCTCTTGGAACCGTTGTCAGTTAGGCATTACCTTGGAAGAAATTATGTAAAGAAAATTTCCCTTTGAAACTGTACTGAATGACATTTGATCTTTTATTCTCTTCAGTGAGTTTCAGATGCTCTAAAGTTAAAACTTTATGTCTCAGCCTCCTGAACTTCTGGGATTGCAGGCATGCATCTCTGTGCCTGGTGGGATAACACTTTTTTATGCTTTCTTAGAGCCAATTGTGAATTTGGGCTTCAAAATGTAAGACAATACACCTGCCAGCTGTTTGTGAGGAAGTTTTTGCATTAACAATTGAAAACTTGTAATTTGGAGGATAACAAAAGAAGGCGTTTTTTTCCCTCAAGTTGTGTATGGGAAAACTGAGAGTTACATTTCTGATTTTACCTAAGAAGTCAGTTTGGGGTTGAGGTAGAGACATGGAAATAGTTAAGGTTTTTGTGCTTTCTAATTTTAGGTCCGTCAGTTGGTGATGGGTAAGCTGTCCTCAGTTGCTTTGGTTGACTTACCTGTGATAATCAAGTTCATTCTTCATTCCATAACAGCCACCAATGCACTTGAGGTATAGTAGTCTTTCCTGCCCAACGTAGATAAAGGTACATCAGGATAAATTTATTTAAATTAATAGGTCCATATTACTCTTCTCTGGCCCCAAACTAAATGATAAATACTGATTAATCCACATAGCATTCAGGGAAAAGAATGATACTATGATTGATTATTATGTATAAGCCCTTACAGGAATTTCTGTGTACCTCAAAGAATTCTGGAATTTGGGTGTGACATACTATACCTGCATTAACCATTCTCATCAACTATTTCAATGTTGCCTTGTCCAGCATTTAAACTTTCTTCAGTCTTTAAGGGGTTGTTATAATTCTATCGAGAGAATGGGCTGTCTCTATCCACTATGACCACAACAACATGGCTAATTTTACTTTCTTCAGGTAATTTCTGAGCTTCGGGAGAGGTTGGATCTGCAGCATTTTATTTTGCCATCAATGTTTCAGGCTTCCCAAATCAAGTTGAAAATTACAGGAGCAAGGTAATAGAGCTTTTGACAGTTGCCATCCTTTTTCTAGCAGTAAAAGAAAAGTTTTTTGACATCTGTTTTTTCTGAAAGTCAGGACTGTTGGAACTTAATACTTAAAATTTACAAATAATGGTAGTAATATTACATTCACATACAGTACCATTTAGTTTCTCACGTCGTGTGTGTGTGTGTGTGTGTGTGTGAGAGAGAGAGAGAGAGAAACGCCATTCAGATCACTTCCATCTGGACTGCAAGTTTTTTACATATGCGATTATGACTTGCTCCCAGGTACCTGGCTAGGAAACAGGTACTGAGATGTTCTTCTTTGGTCAGTAGAAGAAATAATTTTTTTCTCCTCTTCTACTTGTAGTTCTTCAGAATACCAAGAAGATGACAGTCCAAACTGTGTTATGCTTCTCTTTGATATCTTAAAGTTGACTGTTAGGTATGAGAAAATCATTTCAGAAGCCTGGATTAAGGTGAGTGAGATCTTTGGACCATCATGGAGGAAAGGGGTGTTAAGCAGTGATGGATAATGTAAGTAAGATAAGTAGAAATGAACTCTCATTTTTACCCCGTATACAGATTGCAGAATCACATCAGTTACACATCCACTGATTTACATATTGCCATACTAGTGTCTGTTGTGTTCTGCACTTGAATCAAATGTGTAAAATATGATATGTCAAGAACTATATAATGTTTTGAACAACTAATAATAAAAATTTAAAAAAAAAAAGATAAGTAGAAATAACTGGGCATGGTGACGCACACCTATAATCCCAGTGTGCAGGAGGAACATGAATTCAAAGCTAGCCTCAGCAAGACCCTATTTCTAAATAAAGTACACTCAGTGGCTGAGTGCCCCTGAGTTCAATCCTGTTCCTGTCCCCCACAAAAAAATGTAGAAATAAAAACTAAAATAAAAATGATAGATGATTGGCAGATTGGCTGTCAAGTCAGAGAACAGGGCATGCTGAATAAGGCATGAAGAAATGTTCCACTGATGTGTCATAATGTTTTTGTGACCCCTTTTTCCCCAGGCAATTGAAAACATTGAGTCTAAGCACAAGGTAATGCTTTTGTCCTACGAATTTTAAGTATTATAGTCTAAGTAGTGACTTCAGCTAGCTTGTTCTGTTTTCTCTCTCCCTTCAGTTGTTCCTTCTGTGTCTTCTCTAGCTCCTCCAATAAATAATTGCTACTGGGCAACTTGCCAGATGGTCTGCTCCTACTGGTTAATTTTTGCAGCAAAATAAACCTATAGTATCCAGAAAGAGAAATCTGGACATTTCAAACATAAGTTGTAGTCAAAGAAAGTGACATCTCTACTTGGGTCAGTCCTATCCCTGCTTTGTCTGATAACCCTTTCTTTCTCCTACCTGGTGGAATTGTCGAGATGATGGCATTTTGTGTTTTACTTTCTCCATGTAGTCCTGAGTAGATCAAAGTCTTCCCACTGTCAAGATCTGGTACTGGTCTTTCTCTTATTTCTAGAAGCCAGATGATTGAGTTTCTTATGTACTGATTTGATCTCTCTAAAGCTCTTTTTTTTTTTTTTAGTTAGAATCTGTTTTGTTCTGTGGGATTTTTGTTAGGCTATTCAGTTGGTGTTGAAAGACTATCTTAAAAGCTTTTCTGATATGGAATAAAAGACTGAAAATGATATTTTTTAAAAAATAGTTTTTTAGTTGTAGGTGGACACAATACCTTTATTTTATTTACTTATTTTTATGTGGTACTAAGGATTGAACCCAGTGCCTTTCTCATGCTTGGTAAGCACTCTACCATTGAGACACAACCCCAGCCCACAAAACAGTTTTTTTAATGATGAAAATATATTCTGAAATTGGCAAGTGATTTAATCTTTTTCTTTTGATAAATGTGAAGATGTTCAAAATTACTTCTTTGATAATATCACTTTCACTTATGTTCTGATGTGTTTTTAAGACATATCAGTGGTTAATAATCACGGCACTTTATTTCTTTGAAAAATATTTCTGGCTTTTGTGAAAATTGAGGCACTCGGGCTGGAGATGTGGCTCAGCGGTAGCGCGCTCGCCTGGCATGCGTGCGGCCCGGGTTCGATCCTCAGCACCACATACCAACAAAGATGTTGTGT